AGATTTATGTGCCCATCAATATTAACCAACAAAAATGATTTGATGATCTGTCTTTGATAAAAAATCCAACACCCCTTTTTCNCGCAGTATGTCTATTGACTTGGAATTATAATTGACTACAGATTTATGTGCCCATCAATATTAACCAACAAAAATGATTTGATGATCTGTCTTTGATAAAAAATCCAACACCCCTTTTTCTTCCATACAAATCATTTTCATTGGCTAATATTGATGAGCACATAAATCTCCCGTCATTTTTAAGTCCAAGTCAATAGACATAATTCATGCGCTGTGTCTAGTCTGTGGGCCTATGTCATGTGACTCGGTCTGTCGTTGATAAAAAATACAACACCATGATTTTTTATTTAAATATCACTGTTGTTGGCTAATATTGATCAGCATATAAATGTACAGTCATTTATAAGTCCAAGTCAATAGACATAATGCATTTGCTGTGTCTAGTCTGTGGGCCTAAGTCATGTGACCCGGTCTGTCGTTGATAAAAAATACAACACAACTATTTTTTCCATAAACATCATTTTTGTTGGTTAATATTGATGGACACATAAATTTCCAGTCATTTATAAGTCCAAGTCAATAGACATACTGCGTGAGCTAAGTCTAGTCTGTGATTCTAAGTCCTATGACTAGGTCTGTCTTTGATAAAAAATACAACACAACTATTTTTTCCATAAACATCATTTTTGTTGGTTAATATTGATGGACACATAAATTTCCAGTCATTTATAAGTCCAAGTCAATAGACATACTGCGTGAGCTGAGTCTAGTCTGTGAGCCTAAGTCATGTGACTCGGTCTGTCGTTGATAAAAAATACAACACAACTATTTCTTCCATAAACATCATTTTCATTGGCTAATATTGAGGAGCACATAAATCTCCAGTCATTGATAAGTCCAAGGCAATAGACATAATGCGTGCGCTGTGTCTAGTCTGTGGTCTTAAGGCATGTGACTCGGTCTGTCGTTGATAAAAAATACAACACAACTATTTTTGCCATAAAAATCATTTTTGTTAACTAATATTGATCGGCACATTAATCTCGAGGTATTTATAAATCCGATTCAGTAGACGTAGGAGAAGAATAAGTTTCATTAATAACAAATAATTCAACACGTTGCTATTGGCAATAAAAATCATTTGTGCTTACGAATATTGATGAGCACATAATTTTCCATGCATCTTTGGACTACTCCGCCCAACCAAAATTCCCGTTATGGCGTTTAATGGGAAAAAAATCTACAATTAATAACTAACAATACTGATAATAATAATAATCATAATATTAATTCCGCACTCTGATAGGAATTAGTCTAATCTGACAAACATATTCGAAGAAATTAATATCACCGATAAATACCTCAAATAGGCCGAAATAAACATTTGGGCAGAGTAGAAATACACGCTAATCCCTAAATACTCGAGAATTCCGAGAATTGGGGGGAAAGGTATGCGGGCGACAATGGGAGCGAGAGAGAGGAGAACGTATTCCACCATCGATTTTTCGTACCAGCCAATACGGCTCAAATTCCGTAAAACTCAACTTGCCATAACTCGAAAATGGCAGAGTCAAAAATTACGAACCCTGAGACAAAATGTCCGGGAGAGTCTACCGAAGACAACAATACCAAAACAATAATTTTTCCTAAACAATTAGCCGCCCCAGGTTCATTAATCCCCGAGCGGAATTCTAAACGCTAAAAGGCTCGCGTGAAGCGAGAATAGCCACGTGTAAACGTTGATGAGTATCTGAGGGGGAGTTGAGAGTCGGGGGGAACTCCCCCTCGAGAAACACGGCGTACACGCCAGCGAGAATGGGCTGGAAATCCATAAAAACCAAAAATGGTATATCCGGAAATCGGCAGAGCGAATTTTCGGAAACCCTGAGATGAATTACTCAGGGAAGCCCCCCGAATACATTGACCTACAAACCCTAATTTTCTTTGACTATCTACGCGAACCAACTCAATTCGAACACGAGTGGAATTTGTGACGCGCAAAACCCCACGTATAACGGGAATGGACGCGTTCTGGCAATTAAACGGGAGTAATTATCCCCTTGAATAACCTACCAAAAATCACGAAAACCACCCAATCATGAGTGAAAAAAGGGGGGATCGGCACCTCATAATTTGGATTAAGCGTCACAATCACCGTTTTACCGGAATAAAATGCGACGTACGGGGCTGAAGACCCCGTAGTCGAATAACTAAAAGCCGAAATGAATTCGGAAAATTACATAAACCGAACTAAAAACTCACGAGCTTCCTGTGTTTAGAGGTCCTCTTCCCTTTTCGGACCATCCTGGATCGGTACGGCTCCTCCAAAAGGTATAATAATCCACGTGGCACAATTACGTTGCGTGGACACACTCAAAATTTCGCACGTGACTAATGATCGACGACGGTCAACGCGGAACTAACTGCCCTGGGTCAGTGGCACAGGCACTAACCGCAGCGCGAATTCCGGCCAACAGAGACGGGCTCTGATTGGCGGAGATTTTCGGCACATCAAGCGTTGGCTTTGTTGGCGCCACCAAAGGCTTTTGGGGAATTCAACCGCGACAAATACTCAATTATAATTTCTTTATACGTAACTTTATAAAATTGACTAATGATTACCTGGGCCGAACTGGTGGGCGTTCGGAAAATTACTAAGGGTTTTTGGCGCCTCCTACGGGTCGGTTCTCCTGGATTCACGG